GTTGGGCTAATGTATAGATCTGACTTTTGCTTTTTATTAAATACATGCTTGTATTACACATTAGAGAGGTTTTTCTTTGATGAAAAACCAAAAGTTGGTTATGTTTATATTTAAATACAGTGTTGTATGTGAGATATTTCTTATTACTGATTAGGGCAGGGGTGGGTCAACAACTGCTAACCCTGAAATCTGGTTCTACACAGAACTGCTGCTGTTATTATAAACATGTAAAACCTATGAAACACTTATCTGTGAAATACGTTAAATTCCTCCTTGGTTTGGAATCAAGAAAAACTACATTTAGAGATACTGGATATCTGCATAAAATATCAGTTAGTGAAATCCTCGATTAGGATCTCATGTCCACCAGGGGGCTCCAAAAGTGAACAAATTAAAATGTGGAATATCTTTGTTTCCCTCTGCTCATTTGTACTTCACAAAGTACATATGGGAAGGAAGCTGTACTAAACACAGTGTTGAGGTGATTAGCTTCTCTTTTTTTTTTTTATCAACACACTGGAAATAGGATGTGGGGTGCCCGGTTCTGCACAGGGTCCCACAAAGCCTTGAACTGTCCCTGTCACCCCTTCATAAGCACACGTCAGTCAAACGCAGACTTTCTGAGGGCCCCCCCTCTTACATCGACTCATCTTGGCTGGCTTTGCCACCCTCTTATTTGCAAGTCTTGTTTTCTTGCTCATTGCTAAATATGATTCATTGTTCAAAGGGACATGGGGAGTACAAAAGGACTTGGAAGGCTTTCCTCACCAGGCTCTTGTGCTGCAGAGAGGAGAGCAAGGCGGAAGACAAAAGGACGGCGGCCATAATGTGCTCTCGTTGAAAGAATTAGACACATCAATGGGACATGAATTGCACTGTTTATGTATACAAGAGGCTGGTGTGTAATTGGTAAAGGTGGCTGAATTTACCCTCGAAATTATCTGAGACACAGAAACACATGTACACTACGAATGCACAAATATGTTTACACGTACGTCTACACACATTCTCACACACTTTGAGTTTAAACGTATGCGTGTGTGTGTGCTTTGACATATGGTGTACGAAAAAAAACTAAGTTTCAGCTACTGTGAGCTGAGATAGTGGGCAGGGAGATGGAATATCAGCTCACTCATTAAATGCTTTATTTATTTATTTAAAAAATACACCAACCTAATTTGTCTTGTGGGTCCATTTGACATTTTTGTTATACAGTATCATAAAGTCCATCTAATGCATCAATAGTTGGTTTTCTATCTTTTTAATTTTTTAAAATCTTTGAATAACACACACACACACACACACACGATAAAGAATATAACCATCCCTTTCCCATTACTCTTTAATGTTTTTTGTTACCGTATGGGAGC